CTCATGTGATTGGCTTAGACTGGAGGAGACATCTGATTGGCTATAGATAGAAAAAAGTACAATTACGAATCGGCTGACCGTCAGGGGAGTCTCAAAAAACCCACACACGAATGCACAGCGATCCGTGCACAGAAAGCAGTTTGTGTTTGCAGGTTCAGGGGATTTAAACGGAAAACAAATATGTGTGGATCAAAAATACTTATGTAAAACTTTTTTCTGTATTTGGATTTTATATACATGTATATGAAACGGAACACATTTGTGTTTGCATTGAAAAACACAAGTGTGGGTCCGGAAATACAAGTGTGAATCCTTTTGCGGATCATGAAATACAAGCGTGAATCCTTCTGTGTGCATGTGTGTATTATGAGACTGTTCTGAGCCCATAGAAAGCTTATCATCTTATTTCTATATTGTGTATTGTATCAGCACTCTGAAGGTATCTGTACAATTGTGCCTTAAACGTTTTTAAGTCAAGATAAAAAAGAAAAACTTGTGTATCAAATGTTTTTACACTGACCTCTAGTGGAAGCCTTTGGTCACAACAGCTGAAACTCTACAGTTAAACCACTAGAGGACAGTAAGAGACAATTCATCACTCAGCAGTGACAGTCAGGTGAAGGGACAGACTGCAAATACAAGCAAACACAGGGCAGAAAGATCAAATCAATAATAAAATGGTCAGACACATGGAATCCATGGGTATAGACAGTAAACAGACAGTCAATTGAGAGAGTCATGCAGACAGATAGGAGGAGCACAAATACAGTTCCCCTCATCTTTATGTCATCGGGACATGTTCGGACAGCTTTCGCTTATCATGCTACACTGCTGAGTCATGATTTATCACAGGCTGGGTCTGATCACACATCTCCTCTGCTGCTGTTAGGCTCCACTGTCAACAAAGAACACACTGTGCTCAGGTCAGGCTGATATATCAGGCCAAGCTTTTTATTGGAAACTGGATATGAGCCAGTCACTGTCTACTGATACGACTACTGCTGCTGTCACTGTAATGAGGTTCCGTCTGCTTCTGCTACCAAGAATACCAACAGTAATCATGTTCATTTCTAATGGTGGTCAACACATGATGATTTCGTAAGATCTAAGAAAATACATCCGCAACAATTTTAGAAATTAACAGTGGAAGTAAAATTAATGTACTTAAAGATATTTGTGCTGAACTTTAGACCTCATGGATGGATTATGAAATAAAATCCCCTTTGATCAATCCATATCATTCCAATTCTAACATTCTTTAGTCCATTGTTAGAAAGAGACACTCTAACAATGTCATCCTTATCTGTTATGTAACAAGTATCTTTACCACCTAACAACATGTGTGCAGCATTAAGAAAGCAATCACTGACTTGACTAAACATGAACACATTTACTAAAAGCGCTGCATAAACGAAATGGGGACACTAAAAAGTGATGCACACAGCTGGGACCAGAGCCCTTGTTTACCAACTGTCACTCTCACTGAGTCTGTTTCATAATTGTACGTTTTTTGTCAGTATATTTCAAATGACAAGGTTAGCTATGATAGCTAGCTAGCTTACAGCAGAACTGCAATAATATGGGAAGTAATCATGCCATCACATTGTTAAAATAAACCAATAACATTGCCGATGTTTTTTCAAGTTAGTGTTTCTTAATATGCATGTTTTTTTGGCACATTTCTGTTTCTCCTAATGGAAGTGTTTTGGGCTGTTGTAGCGCGTTTGCACCATAAACTATATTTCAGTTAGACAACTCACGTGTTTCTTTATGTGTTTATTAGAAGCAGCATATAGTTTGAGTTTGGCGTCTATAGGCTTGGGCCTCATCACTCCACAGATTTAAATAGAACATTGAGTGATGATTGAGTGATGAACTCAGCAGTGGCAGCAGCAGCATTAGCGAGGCAGAGGAAGGCAGATCTTGCAGCTTAAATAGAGCGGCATGTTTAGGAGAATGTGTTTGGTTGGTTGTAAGAGGGACGAGGTGCGTCATGTGTTAATGTATCATTGGTGCTCGAGATGACTGCCTGAACTATAGCTTGCAGGCTTCGCCCATAAATGTTGGCACAGATTGGCCACTGTGGTCCTTCTATCAGTTACTTCACAATGAGGTGATGTTGAGGAACAGCAGTACTGCCTTCTGTCTCCAAAAGGCTTACTCTGAGAATATTATTTTTCTATTTTGCAATCAACCAGTTTAAAAAAATGTCTTTGGCCAGATTACAAATAATTGCAATTTAAAGCTGGGCAATTAGGTTTTATAGCAGAAGGTTGTAAACTTTATAACTCATTTTGGATTTTCAGCCCGTTAAAAAAAAATCCAAAATTTTTATTTTCTCTGTCACCATGAGGAATAACATGTTTCTTATCACAGGACAGTCTTGAACCGCAGAGTGGAATTTTCCAGAGGATGGAGTACTGAGTCTTGGTCGCAGGAGGAAGCTGAATTGGAGAGGATTCTTTGTGGGTTCCTGTGCATAACATGCACATATAGGGATTATTCTCATAAAACAAAATTCCAGCTTGTAAAGTTTTGGTATGTCTCTGAGTCCTGGCCACTTGCTCTTTCTTGGAAATTATAGTGCTTCGTCACACTCGAGAGAAATACTTTAAAT